CATTGGACAATGTCTGAAAATGTCTGGTCTGCCATATTTGGCTCAGACATTAAAAGTGTACAACACTGCCTCTCTCTCCTTTAGGTTTCTTATCTTTTAGATTTTTCTATATATAGATATGTTTTTTAAAAAGACCCCTATCTCCAAAAATAAACACGTGTTTTCTTGCTCTTCTCTTAGCTTGTTTCAAAGTTGTGTCTCAAAATAATGCCTATAGGCATTATTCTGTACAAATACAGTGCAAATTATAAATCAACTAATCACATCATTGCTGTTATTAATATATTAACAACAGCCTATACTTATTATATATCATACATGGTTTAATCTTGTTTAATAAACTAAGGGTTTGTAATTGAATTTTAACCAAAAACAACATTTTATAGTTGTTTCAAAATACATATTATCATAAAATTTAGTTTATTTAATATTTACTATTAGAACCAACAGTCCATTTGGTCTGTCCTAAAAAGGACTAGCTCGGTCTGATCCTTGAATGAACTGAAGGTCTGTCAGTCTGAACTGAACTGATTAACAGCCCTACGTATAATCAATTATCGAGAGGGCAGTTACATAATTTTCTGACCTAAGACCCTCCAGAAAGTCTTCAAATTTTTTAAGTTTTTTGCTATTTTTGGGAAGAATTTAGTTTATAATTTTGTTATTTTATTTTATTTTTTTTTTAAATAGAAACAGTTACTAATTATGACAAATATTGAAAAAAAAATTTGACCGCCAAATTATAGCAAAAGGTAAAATATATATGAATTTTGAATAATATTGCAAAGTGTAAATAATAATAAAAGGAATATCAAACAATAAATAAATTCTAAAGCAGGAAACATAAAATTAATACCAATAAACAATGCCAATTAAGTAATAGTATTTATTAAATTTTTGCAAAACAAAAACTAGTAAAAATATTCACTTCTAGAAAAAAAAATTATATAGTATTTTTCTTAAAGTTTAAATTTATTTTGAGTTTGTTTTTGCTATACAAATATGAATAGAAATATAGTTGACTCTCTTTACAGTGAACTAATAAAAATTTTTAAAAGTTCCTTATATAGTAATTTACTGTTTTCACACCAAATCTTATAAATTGCTTTAAAAAATTTGTACTAAGAAAGTTATAAAAACTTGTATAAAAAAGTTTGTTGAAAATGTTTGGTATAAAAAAAGGTTGTTGAAAAAATTCGGTATAAAAAAAGTTAATTAAAAAAATTTGTTATAAAAAAATTTGTTGAAAAAGTTCATTATAAAAATAATTCATTGAAAAAGTTTGTTATAAGAAATTTTGATGAAAAAGAAATTCGTTGAAAAGTTAAAGTTTGTTAAAATAATTGAAAAGTTCGTTATAAAAAAAATCCGTTGAAAATGTCGTTATAAGAAATTTCGATGATATAAAAAAGTTCATTGAAAAAGTTCGTTATAAAAAAGTTTGTTATACCTAGAGTTAATAAATATAAATCGCATCATTAATATTGTGAGAGTTGATTGTACAGATAGAAAAACATCAGATCCGATAAAAACTAAGTGGATGGGAAATCATGTGACTGCCCCCTCGATTATTGGCGATGCTGGTGTTTTTAATTATTGTGGTTCGATGTTCTGTAGTACAACCCACGAGTAGTTCTATTTGTTTTTATTTATTTTTTTGTTAATTTTATTTTTTTATTAATGGAAACGATCGCCAAAATAAGCACATCTCTCATAAATCAGAGCGAATTCTGCTTATGTAAAGACAAATATATCAACAGCGAAAGCCTACCTTGAATAGAATAACTCGTTTAAAGTTCAATACTTGAAAGTCTAATATCTCGAATTCAGTACTTCGCTTTGTTAATTCCCCGATTAGTAAAAGTTTACTTGTATGATCCATAATTTGCATATCGTAAATGTGTACAAGGTTGGTGGCGCAGATCTCCTGAACTACGAATCAGATTTCAAGTTTAGGTGTAACGTAACACGATCAGGAAGATTCAAAACAAACGTTCGTTCTGCCAAAAATTGCTCATAGCTCAAAAATCAGCATAATAAACCACCTTCTGTGCTTTAACAAAAAGTTTTTGTTGAACAATTTTACAATGAGAACTACCTCTTTCTAGATCCTAACTTTGACCCTAACCTAACCTTAACGAATTTTAAGAATTTAGTCTTCGCCGCCAACCTTGTACACATTTACGATATGCCCATAAATTCGTATTCGAGATACTCGTGACGTTCTGGAGCTCTAAGTAACCTTGATTGCTCAAGAATTCCGGGGTTGCTACTTTAGACATAATATCTAATTTTAGCTGATGAACTCGGTCAAGTGTGACTTCAAGTACGTACGTACGTATTAGGTGCAACTTATTCATTACAAGTATTGATCACAAAGTGTTTGATGCAACTTATTCATTACAAGTATTGATCACAAAGTGTTTGATGCATATGCAGAATGTACTACTTAATGAAACATTTTAGAAGAGATTAGATAATAAAAATAACGTATTCAATATTTTGATGAAAATTTTCTTTTCAAATAAAAGTAACAAATTCAGTGTTTGATGAAAATTTTCTTTTCTTTTGCAATTTCTTGCTGAAATGATTAATCGTAACGGAATGTATCAAGTTGGTTATTGCTTATTTGAATATTATTTGAAATTAGCTGAGGCAGGTAATTCGATGGCAATTTTTAAAACCGCAGTAAATTTTAGATATGGAATTGGCGTGCCTCAAAGTGATTATAAATTTCGAGAGTGGATTTTCAA